TTTTTTTTCACATTTTGTCTCTCATAGTTGAGGTCTACCTATGATGTCAATTACAGGCCTCTCTCATCTTTTTAAGCGGGAGAACTTGCACAATTGGTGACTGACTAAATACTTATTTTCCCCACTGTATCTATTAAAAAAAATTGTAAAAAGTGATTATTTTTTGTACCTGTCATTGACAAACGTCCACGCCATTTGTAGCACCTTGCACACTTTATTCTTCTCCCCTACATCAAAACAAGACGACACCCCGTTCTTAATTTGTTTTCTGTGTCAGAGTTGATGTGATTTATTTTGGCTTGTCGTCTTCAGCTCTCACCTTTCAGCTGCTTGACATAACGCAGCAGGAACATGTACGGGTGCTCCACCTGCAGGTCAAATTTAATAGTCTGGAGCAAAATCCTCTCCAACACCATCACCTCTTCCTGTGAAAACAAGATCAGCCCCAAATCCATCTCATCCACAAAAAACACACTTCAAAATGTTCAGGACTTTTACAATTAGTTGATCAAAAACTGAAAAAATATGTACTAAATACGTGATCTTTAGGGGACATAAGCAACAAAAATGCACAAAATGATGCTTTGATCTTTTTAACTACCCATTAAAGGGGACCTATTATGCAAAATTTACTTTTTAAAGGTTTTTTTTACTCAACTTTGGGTATGTTCTTAAAAAAAACAGTCCTAGGACCAAAAAAATGCACCCAAGGGCATATTTACTGTAAGTAAATGTATTTTTAATGTATATTAACGACAAGTTTTATACTTGCGTCATTTTGTGATGTCACAAGCCGTATGACAACCCACCAGAACCTGCGTTCAGCCCCTTACCTAGCAACCCCCAGGTGAAGCTCCACCTCCTCAGTATAAAAAGCTGTCATGGTTGTTGTTGTGCAATGTGCAGCTCATTTCACAACAAGCCTCCAATAGGGCAATGGGTAGAGTGTTGGACCAGAGAGTGGGAGACCAGGGTTTCAGACCGGCATGGACAAAATTTAATTATTTATATATTTTCGTTCGTTATGAACACGTTTTCTCATGTGCCTCTATTGTTTAGCTTATTAAAGCCTTGTTAAAGCCTATTTGTT